AACAATCAATAAAACAAATACATGCAAATACAAATACATAAAAGCAGTCATTATAAAAATATTAAAAGTCATTTTTAAGAATAAAAATGATCAAAAATTTAAAATATACAAACCACATGGGGAGAGTAAAATGATAAACCACAGTGGAACCACCTAAGGGGGCCTCCAATTCCCTGGGACCCCCCCCCCCCCGCCAGGCCTGGTGACATAACCAGATCTTGAGGGACTTCCAGAACATTAGCAGGGATGAAGGTAACCTAACTTCAGGGAAGAATGTTCCATAACTCAGGCGCCATGTGGAAGGCATGTTATCGTGGAAGGAGAGAGTTATGAGATTAATAAAATGCCTAAATACATAAATCAGGAAATCACACAGAGTCATGGGACAGGTCATAGTGATTGGGAAGGAATGTGGCTTCTACCTGGGATTCAGATATTTAGCAATCACCCCCACTCCCCATTCACAAAGGTTAGTCCAATGCACTAAAGCTATACTGTAATTACTGTACTTTGGTTTTTGCTTAGCATATTGTTTGAAGCCAGCCCTTGTGGTATGCAAGCCACGGTTTATAGTTCAATGCATTATGTGAACACAGCCAATTTTGGTTCACCCAAGAAACCATAGTTAAATCAGTCATGATGTCACACAAGATGCAAGCAAGGTGTGAACTTAATATTTGCTTTGCCATCTCCAGGCACGTGGAGATTGCATTTTGCTGTTTTCAGCAGCCTTCCCCAAACTGGCACCTCCAAATATAGGAGAACTGCAAATCCTAGATTTCCCAGAGAAATCTTGGAGTTGCATTCTCAGCACATCTGGAGATTGTCATCTTCGTTTTCTAATCTTGTTGAGCATCACTTTCGGTGCCTCTTCTGGGAGGAAGCAATCTGTTGCCTGCTAACAGATGGTAGAGGAAATATATAATACATATCAAAAGTTCAGGGTTCCAGGTGCTTTCTTATGGCATCAAGCTGATGGATTGCAGTCAGCTTTAGACAGATCTACACATGGATATTTGTTTGAAGTGAAGAGCCACTGCAGATGCTCTCCTCCAAAATGTTTTAGTGCAAAGCTGTATTGGTCCTCTCTGGACAATCAGTTTATTGTAGAACAAACATGACATTGGTGCAGATTCTTCCAGGCAGTCTTTTCTCAAAGAAATGCTTCCTTCTTAGGAACACATCAAAGCAACTTGTGGCACCTTAAAGACCTTCACGATGGCATAAAGCTCGCATAAAGCTCTTAGTACATATTTGTCAGTGGTAAAATTAGAAGCCTTGGGTAGATCGGATGCAAGGATACCTTAACAGCTGGTTGTTGTTTGGGGGATAAACCCAGAGTCTTTACAGTGCCTCTGACTAACTACCAAAAGTACGAATGGTAGATGAAGGATGGTGGGTAGATGTGGAGAACAGATGCAGCGTGCGAATATTGTGGGAAAGTCAGGAAGTCCAGTTGTTCGGGACGGAAGGACAAGAGCAATGTGATGTCAACAAGGAAGGGAGCATCGTTTCTTTTACCCAGATTGCACAGCCTTTTTGTAGCAGGTCATTGTAGCAGTGATTTTGCAAGATTGTGGCGATGGCTTCCCAGAGAATGCATATTTACTTACCCATTTATTTACAATTTTTGTAAACCGCCCCATTCCATTCAACTCTAGGCAGCTGACAATACATATCAAAGCAATAAAACAATACAAATTCTCAAACAATATTTCACATCAGTTAAAACCATCATAGTTACACTCAGGCCAAGAATACCTCAGCTGGCACAACCTGATTCAAATAGGGACCCCAATGTGTCTTCCAGACCTGGAGGGGAAGCTCTTCTAGAGGGTAGGGGCTGCCACCAAAAAGGTCTGCCCCCCACTAACCTCTAAGATGGATACTACCTGTAGAATCCTCTCCCGGATTAAGGGAACAAGACCAGCAAGTTCAACTTGAAGTCAGTTTTGGAGATACTTGGGAGTCCAGCCAAGTAAGGTTTTATAATTAAAACCAGTGCTTTGAACTGAACCTGGAAACTGCTGGGTAGTCAGTGCAGTCCGCACAAAGCCAGTGTACATGGTGGCAATGGCTGTCATCATCAGCAGGGAGGCTGCTTCCCTCGGTATCAGCTGCAGTTTCCAAATGATCAGGTTTGACCCAGGTAACTCGTGGGATAAAGAAACAAGGAAGCAAAAGACAAGAGTCCCTATTTTTGAACCCCAGCTGTTAACTTGAGCCTTAATGTCAGCCTACATGTCTTAGGACTACAGCTCCCCGTTCTAGAATCTGAAGTTCCAACACATTTAGAGGACATCTAGTTGGAGAAAATCTGCTTGAAGTCTTGAAATGGGCCTTCATTTTGTTCCACAGAAGGTCTGTGTGTGTGCTTCTGAGTCAGTGTTGACTCCTGGTGACTGCCTGGACAGGTCCCTGTAGTTTTCTTGGCAAGATTTCGGAAGTGGTTTGCCATTGCCTTCTTCCTAGGGCTGAGAGAGAGGGACTGGCCCAAGGTCATTCAGCTGGCTTTGTGTCTAAGGCAGGACTAGAACTCATAGTCTCCTGGTTTCTAGCCTGATGCCTTATCCACTACGCCAAACTGGCTCTCTTAGAAGGAGGTACCGTATGCGTTTTTCAAGATCATGCCTCCTCTGAGATTCCTCACCTTCAAGAAGTAATTTGTTTCAGAAATATACTTTTTACAAATTTACAAATAAGTAGATGTAATCAATGGATCCATCAATTGAAACGAATGTGATTAAATAATATGCATTTAACGCTGCTATAACATGCGCTGGGAGGACTTAGTGGCTTCTTTGCCTTATAGTTTTGGGAAGGTATACAGAACCAGTACGGAACAAAAATACCATTGGTCTGGTCTTGTCTTCCCTTGCATTGTGATATCTGCTTATCTAAATGGCATGTCATGGATAACAACTGATTTGAGTGGGTTTGTTAGTAAGAACACCCTGGGAAGCTTTAGTCATCCTGGGTGAAAAGTGAAAAGTACAACAACACTGTATGTGAAAGTTGTCTATAGAGTTAAGTTCCACGGAAAGCACAAACAGAAAGGGTTTTACCAACAGCCCAGGGGAACTGTCCTGAAGACAACTTACATGAAGAGAGTTGGCAGTGCCAGGGCAGAAATTGAGCAAAAGAGATGGACCACTTAAAATGAACACCGGAGAGGGCCCCTCGCCCATCACGCTCAATATATGAACACTGTTTTCATCTGGCTTTTTTCTAGGGGGGAAAAAAATCTTGAAAGCAACAGTGCATGTTTATCTAAAACGCATCCCATAAATATCTACATTGCTTATAGCAAATGACATGGGGGGGAGCAATTTAAAAATCAAGACAACAACCTCTTAGAACTTTTTGTCAGCCAAAGAAGATTGCAAAAGGCAAATAGAAAACAGAGCACTTGTTTTGAAAGGAAGCTTATTTTATTGCAAAATGCATAATACATTGCAAAATAGATCTTGCACTGCTGGGATGTGCAACCCTCTGAAAGCCAAAGACCGCATTTGGCTTTTTCAGTGGCGCACTCCAAAAATTGGTCAGGCCCTGGACAAAATCTGAATTCCACTAACTTTCAGGGAATATGATAATTCCCCACATTCTTAGTTTATGTGGGGAATTATCATATTCACTGAAAGTTAGTGAATGTGCTTCATGAAAAATAACCATCTGGCTGCAACTGTGAGGAGGGAGGAGAGCTGAATTTTCGATGCCCTCAGTAGAGGAGGAATGGTGAGATATTTAAATAAATAAAATGGGAGAGTAGGATTTCTATACACAATGGAAAAAACGACACTTTATTGTTAATTTTTCTAATATGAACAGCATCTTCAGTCTCCCTGGCCTGGCACTATGTACGAGCAACGGGAAGAAGATAGGTCTGAGCCCCAAGACGCATACAGTCTGAACAGCTGGCTGCCAACCAGAGCAGATCTCTCTTGTTCTCTCTGGCCGTCGGGACCCGCAGTTCCTTGTTCTTTCTCCCCGCTCCACTCCACCTCCTCCTTTTTCTGACTGAAATGTATGGTTAAACCAGGTTCCACCTCCTCTCGGCAGCGGGGAGGTGGGTTGTTCGGGGCTTGCCTGCGTGTTTGGGCTTCTCTACCGCCTCCCCTCCCTCCTTCTGGGAAACGGCGATCCATGCCATCGGCGGTTGATTATGTGCAAAGTCCCTGGGCTTTTTTTCCTCCTCCTCGCTCTCGCTCGCTGCTCATCTACTCTCTGCTCGCTCGCTCGCTCGCTCGCTCTCCCCGTCACTCTCTTCCTCTCCTCTCGAACGCAACTTTTGCAGAAATCTCTCCCCCCCCCCAACACACGCACAGACAT